TATCACAAATACACTATACTCATTTTTATCTTAAGATATCAGAAAAATCCAATACTTCAAAGCTTCCACTGGACTGTAGATTGTAGTAAATAACCCCTAAGTTAAAAAAAAAACACAAGCAACCTTCAGCGAACAATGTTTCATGTAAAATATCAATGATATTAAACTTTGTCAATATAATGCAACATCATAAACCTTAAATGACAATTAAATCAATCAAAAGGCTTACATTGTCAGATCACACACAAGTTAGAATAATGTAAGAAACAAAATTCACATTTCTGATTTTAAATTCTCAAGTAATGATATTCACAGTTTACTGACTCAACCAATGACGTCCCACTTGGGAAGTGTATTAATTTTTGGCTGACCAATAAAAGATGTTCATGGAAACTTGTTTGAAATCAGACAGGGGAAGTCTGCTTTTTAACTTATTATAAAGTGTAACTTTAAAATCTTAAAGTGCAAACTGTCATATGTAAAACATTAATCTTAAATTAACTCCTATAAAAGTACTATGATGAATGAATACATAATCAGATGTTAACACCATAGAGTTCTGACTTATTTACACATGGCACTGACTATTTACATATTACATATATGGTCAATTATGTGACACTCTACACAAGGCAATTTAAACAATGCCAATGACCAATGGTGCGTTAGAAAATATGGTAAATTGATTTTACTCTATTTCAACAGCACAACAGAACCATGTTGCTAAAAAAAAGTCCAAATAGATTAACAGTATAAAGTGGAAATAATCCAATACTTTCAATAAATCTGATACAAAAGTCTGCTTTTTAGCTTATTATAAAGTGGAATTTTAAAATTTTACAGTTTCATATAAAACGAACAATCAATCCCACATTCATCTCAAATTAAGATTAAATATGGTCAATTATGTGACACTCGAAAAGGCAATTTAAACATAGCAATGACCCATGGTATTAGGGCTGTGTATTGGCAAGGGCCTCACGATATGATACATATCACGATACATGGGTCACGATACAATATATCACACTATATTGCAATACAATAAATATTGTGATATATTGCAATACTTTGTAATAGTATGTGTTAGGGCTGTGCAATTAATCGAAAATTCGATTTCGATTTTGGCTTTTAACGATTATGAAAAACCATTAATCGAGATAAATGATTATTCCATCACGTACCGCCCCCTTTCTAGTTGTACACGTATGAAAACTATTTGCCTCTGCAAAGCTCAGTTCCACGTGAAAATGACTAAAAGCATGTGCTGTAATGTAACTTAGGCAGCACGGGATGCGCATCATTCATGTTTTTATAAGCGCAAAAGAGCACGTGATGTTGTGTGTGTGCGCGCCTTGCTTAGCCTCGGACAGGTAGCGTGTGTGTGTGTTTGCGCATGCGCCGCGCTTAGCCTCGGACAGCAGAGCACACACACATCTAACGCGATCTTAATGCGAGCGCTTTAATGGTGAAATACATGCACATTTGTATCAGAGCGCGGTGTTTAGTGATTATTCATATTAACCCTCATTTGTGTAATAAACAAACGAGTTGAGAATCAAAAGACATGAGAAAGAGGAACTATATCAGAGCGGCACTATTCTTAAAGTGACAGCGTGCAATATTCCTGCTGCTGCCGACTGTTTTTATTATTAATTAATAATAAAAATAAAAATACAGTGAAGATGCTTAAAGCACAGTTTAAACATAATAGATTTAATAACTCATTTCTAATAACTGATTTCTTTTATCTTTGCTATGATGACAGCACATTATATTTTACTAGATGTTTTTTTAAGATACTAGTATTCAGCTTAAAGTGACATTCAAAGGCTTAATAAGGGTAAATAGACAAGTCATTGTATAACAGTAGTTTCTTCTGCAGACAATCAAACATATGTATTGCTTAAGGGGGCTAATAATATCGAGCTATAAAAATCGATTTCAAAATATTCAAACCTGCTTTTATTCTAGCTGAAACAAAACAAATAAGCCTTTCTCCAGAAGAAAAAAAATATTATAGGAAATACTGTTAAGAAATCCCTCTGTTAAACATCATTTGGGAAATATTTATATATAAAAATAAATTCACTGGAGGACGAATATTTTTAACTTCAACTGATAATTGTTTTGAATAATCGTGATTACAATTATGACCAAAATAATCGTGATTATGATTTTCCCATAATCGAGCAGCCCTAGTATGTGTGTAATGTTATATTGACAACTTAATAAAGTCAGCAGATGAATTAAAACTCCAATTCCAATTTATTTTATATGCATTTCAATTCCTTAGAACTGCACAGTGTTATCGAACAGAGAACTCACTGAACTGTATTAAATGCATATTATAAACACTTAACTAAAACATATATGCCACTAAAGTCACATATAAATAAAATAAACAATTTGTAGAACTAAAGCAAGTAAAAAAAATAAAATGCAACAAGTAAACATAAAACGGGAACACAGTGCTTTAAAATGTGACTAAACTATTAGTAATTTAAGTGTCCAAAATCAGGGCTCTAAATTGTATACTAATATGCGCCCAAAATTTTATCTATGCGACCTCAAAATATATTTGGGAGCATTTGTGCGACTGCATAAAATTGTTGTTGTGCACCTTTATATTTTCCACCATGCCCATTCTTGCTTATTTCTGATGCCGTACTACTTAACGTTTTGTTAATAGCAAATTAGCGACATCTACTGGAGCAGAGGAGGAGGTTGTTTGGCACAACTTGTATCAATACTTCAGGTTGGATTATCGATACACTATCGTGAAAGAAATTATCGCGATAGTCAGATATATCGATAATTTTGCACAGCCCTACATGGTACATTAGAAAAATATGGTCAATTTGATGGTAGGTTTAACTCTATTTTAACACCACATAAACCATGTTGCTAAAAAATAAATGTTTAAATACATTAACAGTGAAAAGTGGAGATGTGTATATATCACAAACATGTATACTCATTTTTATGCTAGGATATCAGAAAAAATCCAATCTTTTAAAGCATCTACCGGATTGTAGATTGTAGGAAATAACCTCTAAGTTAAATAAACACAAGCAACCTTCTTCGGCAAATGACAATTCATGTAAAATAATATCAGTGATATTAAAAATTGTCACTTTAAAGCAACATCATAAACCTTAAAATGACACTAAAAGCAATCAAAAGTTTTACATTATCAGATCACACACACAAGTTAGAAGAATGTAAAAAACTAAATTATAAGCTTCACATTTCTGATTTTAAATTGTCAAGTAATAATATTCAAGCAAATCCATGCAAATGACAACCCTGCCAAGAAAAAGATTAAGTATTCACCAAATTATGGAAACCGTTTCTAGGTTTTTTTGTGTAGGCTTGTATTTTACAGTATTTTAGAAATACTCAAAAATGTATGTCAATGTTTTCGAACAATTATATTTTATTTACCAAAGTGACGCAAGTGGCAATTACACATTGGTCACATGCTTAACGGAGAGATGTCACATCCATTACGACACTTTTACCTCAGAAATGCAAAAATGTCAAGTAAAATAAAGTCAATCATCTTTGTTCTACAGAGAGACATCTTTTATCCTTTTGAGTAGCATATTTCTTTTAGGTTGTGCAGTTTAATTCACAAAATTTCAACGAAGTATGTTGTATACTGCAAACTCGGTCACATCCATAACGCATGTTTATTTTCCTCAATTAAAGTACAAAACATCGTTTGCAGATTGATATTTTTCTGGTCCCATATCTCTGCGGGCAGTTGTTTTGGAAAATATATCAGATGTTGAATTATAAATGTTAACATATACTTTCTATGTGAACTTATGTTTAAAGTTTTTACTCGCATCCATAACGCTGGAATTGCTCACTCCCAGTTTACTGACTCAACCAATGATGTCCCACTTGGGAAGTGTATTATTTTTTGGCTGACCAATGAAAGACGTATATGAGAAACTTGTTTGAAATCAGACAGGGAAAGTCTGAGTTTTAACTTATTATAAAGTGTAACTTTAAAATCTTAAAGTGCAAACTGTCATATAAAACAATCAAGCTTACATTGACGCTTAAATTCCGAGTTACTAAAGTAAAGTAACTCCTAAGAAAAACTATTTATGATAAATGATTAATAAAATACATAATCAGATGTTAACACCATAGAGCTCCAATTTTATTTACACATGGCAGGCTATATACATGTCACATACATCAATTATGTGACACTTTACAAGGCAATTCAAACAATGCCATTTACCATGGTATACTTCCAAAAATAAGCTATATGGATTCTTACGTTTCTCTATTTCAACAGTACATGAACCATGTTGCTAAAAAAGGCTAAATACATTACAAGTGAAAAGTGGAAACGTGTATACATATCAAAAATAGTTATCACATTCGTTTTTATCTTAACATACCATAAAAATCCAATACTTCAAAGCTTCTTCTTGACTATTGTAGTAAATACCATTGAGGTAAAGTTGGTTTTACATTCGCACATTTAGACTTTCTCCTTAATAATTTCATTTAAAAAAAGTATGATTTGCAAATTATAAATAGTGAAATCATATTAGCAGCCAATAAATATCAAAAGTACATTGTTCACAGTCAAAATAGTGCTAATGTTGTTTTCAAGTCATATTTACATGTGATTTCAGACCCTATATTCAAATTGGCGTGGTAAATAATATAGGGAACGTTAAATGAAGGAATGTGCGACTATAAAACCAACTTTACCTCAATGTAAAAAACCCCAAGTTAAATAAACACAAGCAACTTTCTTCGGCGAACATGCACCATGATAAACGTCAGCAAAACTGTAAAGTTGTACTCAAAATGCTAACGTATTCTGGCGAATCGCCCTCAAGACGGACAGATTTAACGCTCAGCTTCACAGAAATCAATCGCAGTTTTGTCAGAAAAGAGCTGATATTACGGAGACACATCCGATCACTTCCCCCGCTTCAAAAAGCACCCGGTGACTGTATTCTTACCGGTTGAGAGGTGAAAGTGTCCGCGAGTTGTTGTAAAGCTGCTTGGTGTCCGTGAGTCCGTCTGAATGATGTGTCAGTTCAACATTAAATGAGTTCAGCTCGTCAACATCATCAACAGCAGCTCCAGTACGGGCGCGCGCACGCGGGAACTCACGACACCGACTACCGGCGGCTACCGGACTAACCTGACTCACCTACTTAAGTTAGTTTTGAGGAGGGGTAAGGTACATAATAAATAAAATAATAATTAGTGAATGTACTGTAAAACAACAGTTAGCTTGAGTTAGCTAATAACAGTTATTGCTATATAGGCTAGCTAGCCTATGTTATGCAATATTGATATAATGGTTTATGGTGGTAGCCAAAAAATATAGAGGTTAAGTTGGTTTTATATTCGGATATTGAAACTTTCCCCTTAATAATATAATTTTATCAAAGTATTATTTGCAAACTCTAAGTAGCTAAATTAAATTAGCAGCCAATGACTATCAAATTACAACATTGTTGTACACAGTCAAATAAACAGTGTTAATGTTGTTTTCAAGTCACACTTGCATGCTAATTTCGATCGAATATTTAAAGTGACAATACAGAGACTTCTAAATGAACGAATGTGCGAATATAAAACCAACTTTACCTCTATCAAATAAATAGTGTAGCTTGTCACATTGTTATCTTGTTCATTGATATTAATTAAAGAAAAAAATGCATTAATTTATATATAT